TTAATGCAGACAATGCTTAATACTGTTGCTGATTACATATTACTTGATACAATATATTTTGTAAAATATTTATTTTTTTAGTTAAAGAAAATGTAAGTCGTAGTGTTTATTAACGGTCCTCGGCTTGCCGCGAGCGTCGGCCGTCGGCCAATATTTTTGTTTTTACGCTTCCGCTTTGGCGATTCACAATATTTGTAGCCATTTCTTGGTAAGCCCTCCATTCATTCATTTCTATCTTGTTTTTGAAATCATGATTTCTATTTGCTGCTGTTAGCAAGAATCTCTGACATGAGCTTTGCTTAGCAAGCAGAGCTATTTTGCAGAGCACCTGGATGCAGTCGATTCAATAATCTGATGTGTCGGTTCAATATGTGGCCGAATCCAGTATTTGAAATTCTTTCTTAAGCTATATACACGAATTTCAATAAAAATATTAACGAGCGTGCTTTAGCCACAGGGACCACTCCTTGTCATAACCCAGAGAAAACATATGTAATCCATTATCCATTATCCAATCAAGCTGACATAGATACGTTTTTTAATTCAACCACTTTCAGCAGTTAGTTTAAAATGCGACATTAATTTCTTAACCTAAGTAAGTAAAATAATTGCAGAGTTCGTAGCCAAGAGGTTGTATTAAAACATTGCACAGCAGTCCACTATGGTTCGTACTTAGGTCTGTAGTAAGTAACATTTCTCAACTTTCGACCCATAGATAGAAGCAGTTCATTAGCTCTGACGGCTTGCACAATTGTCATTGGGGCTTATAGAAAACAAACCAAAGCGTCACCCTTTGCATACATTCGAGAAGCACGGCGACTTGTTTATCTTATCGAATGCCGTACCACGTAGTCAGCAAAGTTGGTACGCTTATCAAGAAATGTTAAAGTAAACAGACGATAAACAATACAATGAGCCAGCACTCGAAACCAGTACTCAGCACTCACGTAATGCCAAACAGAGAACGGCCCAACGAGCAGGCGGTCGAACGCGTCATTTTGTTGGCAAAACTTTCAGCAAGTTGAGTAAAAATGACGCATCAGCAAAATAGTGTTATTACATACATATATGTACGTGTATTCTATGTATCCGCGGGTGTGTGTACTCGTACACTCGTATTCAAAAGTTTCAGAACTTTTGGTGGCTATGGGCCAAACGTTTAAGAGGTATAAAAATAAATGCTTGCCACTGCCGCGAAACTAATCAAAAATGTAAACAAAAATAAGAAACAACCTAACGGAATAGGACGACGGATATAGTATAGTATAGTAGTTCCTATGGCTGCCAATTGAACAGATCTTTGGTGACAACAACAAGCACGCCAACATTTTCCATAGGCCTCAGGCAGAGAGAGAGAGAGAGAGAGAGAGAGAGAGAGAGAGAGAGAGAGAGCTAGGTCGCTCCCCCTGTGTTAGGGGCACGTTCCATCAACACTTGATAAGGTGAGGGCTAAGGCTGCGGGTCGCTGTTGCACCTACTTAAAAATGCAGCTCCCGTCGACCCCTCCATATGCCCAGATGGGCTTGTTGATAGCCCTCTCCTCCCATTATCAACTTCCTCGAATCGCTCCCGTTTTAATTGGAGCAGCGTGCGCGCAATTCCTGAATAGGCCGCACGCATCCATAGCCATCCGTCCATTCAGTGAATTATGTTAATTTAATTTATGACCATTTGGCTGCACAGTGAACAGTAAGCAGCAAACAGGGCCAGTACACAATGCCAAATTATTAATAATTACTGTGGCATGTCTCGACGACTCTCCAGTCCCTTTGGCTTCGCATTTTCAATTCTCAATGTGTCCATTGGCTACTTGTCGAATTCATTTTCGATTTGATTTCTTACAACCTCGCTTTGATTGCGTATAAAAAGCAATTGCGAAATACGAATAGACATTGCATGTGTCTGCTCTATTATTAAAGTCGTTAGTGTGGCACCGAATGGATTTGACATTGGACTCTAGAATTTGGTTATGATTGCTCAAAAATTGCCTCATATACATAATTACAAACATACATACATACATAGTATGTATAATTGCAATATGACTTTGAACCTTCGTCAATGATTAGAGGTGGAAGCGTGGATAGCAACGTTACTTTTTACCCCATTCTTGAAACCTCAACAAACTTTAAGTATACATACATATGTGCAGTCAAAATAGATCACAAATATAGTGCAGGAGAATAAGATCATGAAGGGAAGGAATCGAAAATAAGTGTCTACAGGGGATAGGGAATATAAGCTGAGCATAACAGATAGATAGGCCACGAAACGACTCTACTTTATTCGATCAAAAATTTTGTTCAAGCTTTAAGGGACATCGTTTCATAGTAAATAAGGGATCGGGCTTAATAATTGTCGTACTTCCATATCTGTGGGAGATAAACCTAACACATTTAGAATCCACTTAATGAATCCAGAAATAAAGAGCGAATAAGAACGCGCTAATATTATAGTGGACTATAATCTACTACTAGTCAATAAATGTGTAAAAATATATTGAAAGCCTTAATAGAATTCAATAAATTTTGAAAAAACATAATAATACTCAATTAGGATTATTTCGCAATTTAAAATTTGTTTTATGAAACATGAAACGAAAGTGTAGATATCGTTTAAATAGGTTATTAATCAAGTATACCAGCTATACCTTAAAACAGACAATTTTGGGTTTTTGAATCGATGCTAAATAGTAATTCTAATGAATGCAATAATGTATGTGTGCTTGCACAATTGTTGGTACAATATCTAGATATCTAGATATCACACAAACTTGCACCTGTCTGTCTCTCTTTGTAGTTCGAATTTGTTTATTGAAAGAGTGGGAGCTGTTTAGACTAAACATAGACAACATATAGGCGAAGGCATTAGCATCAAAGGCAACTGCGACCCCAAAATGTGTCTTCGTTTCAGTCGGTCGGTCCACGAACTTTAAATTGTATTATTACTCAACTCGGTGCTCGCCACATGCTTTTTAACCTTGATTGGGTTGAGGCGGCAGCCTTCTAATGACGATGCTAATGCTGGTGATGACGATGATGATAATGATAGTGTTGATTATGGTGGCGCTGTTGAAGGCGATGATGACAGCAGTGCAGCCACAACATCATTAGCACCACTCGCAACATCAACAACAAGCTCCGGCTGACTACATCAACACACACACACACACAGACTTTTTCCCGCTTTCCGCCTTTCTGCGCCTCGGCTTTCACGCCGCGGCCCGCATTTTTAATTGCCGCCCGGCACTTAGCTAATGTAATTTATAATACATCGTGTGCTCTAAAAGCTCTAAGTAGCTGAAACAACAACAAAACCCAGCTCGGCAGCGCAGTCAAGTGCAGCAGCCACACGACGATCCGCCCCGACCCGACCGGAGCAGAGCAGAGCAGAGAAGAAAAGAAAAGAAAAACTCTTGTTTATATTTACCTAACATTGTACTTGAAAGATATTTTCGTTACGTTTTGTGGCACTTTTTGTTTGAGTCAGAATGTGTGTGTGTGTGTGTGTGACTTTTTGTTCGCCATGTTTGTTTATCTAATGGCTAAAAAATATTTAAGCTGTAAAATGGCTAAAAGCGCCTCTTTTTACACAAGCCATAAATATAAAAACCTTTAGACCAGCCCCAGTTATAGCCACAGCAGCCGCAGAGCAGAGCACTGGACCAGGTTGAAAAGGTTAAGGTAGCCGGGAGAGATAAAGTTGTAAATAAAACTCGGAATATGCGATATGCTGCTTCTTCCAGCTATATTTAAAATTTATGTAAATTCGTTCACTGCTGCCGCTGTCTCAGCCTGTCTGTTATCTTAAATGTTTTTTCCCCGTTGGTAATTAAAAAGTTTGTTGCCGGTGTTGCTTTTTTTCTATCTCTCTCTCTCTCTCTCTCTGTCTCTCTGTCCCCAGCCGGCTCAGCCTACTCATCTGTTCGCGAGGCAACTGTCATTGCGTCTGACTTGTAGATTAGCTAATGTATGTAGAAATTTGTGTCCCAAAATGGCCTTGGAATTGTGTAATAAAGCCTGTTAGTGTAGCTATTAATGGTGCTGATAAGGAGCAGGCGGCTGGGACGCGCAGAGCTTTGTGGGACGGGGGTCCACCACAGGCAGGTGGATTTTAATTTGAAACTGTGCTGGAGACACGCCGATGCTTAAGCGGATGTGACACATTTGTAAATTAGTTAAAGAAACTCTGGGCACTTGCAGTACGCAACACAATAGAGGACTTGCGAATACATTTCTGTGCGTCCCAGAAAAGAACATCAGCTTTCAAAGCCCATGGTCTGGTCTGGTGAGCGTCAAAGAAGTTCCGAAGAATTATGAACCAGTTTCTAATAAAAACTCACGAGAAATGTATTTGCCAAGAGCCCCTCCCCACAACCTCACCAAACCGCAGACCGCTTCCATTCATAAAGATACCCATCTTGGAAGCAGCAGCAGCGGCATGCAACACCTAACAAGTTCTTGGAACTGCGCGAGCTTCGCCACGACATGGCCGAACCCTCACAACCAACTCCGGATCCATTGAAACCTGTTCCGTACCAAGAGCTTCCCCCCTAGTGCACATTCTGGCGAGCGCTCGGGTTAAGCAGTCAAGTCAGAAGCAAAACGCCGTACTGCCTTAATTAATGATTTCAAATTTTTGAGACTGAGAACTCACCGAAGCTATCGATCGCCCAGCGGTCTGGAACATGGGGCTGGGGCTGGATGATGGATACAAAAAGTAACTGTCACTTCGCCAAGTTGTCAAGAGCCTGTGCTGGGGCGGGGGGCGAAGTATTTTCATGACTTGTTACTTATCAGACTTAAGCTAGCGATATAAATTACACGCAAATCGCAAAGTAGAACCGACCCGGCTCGGGCGGCAACTAGCGAGTTGTCTGCCGACGCACAAACAAACAAACAAACAGACAGACCGAGAGGCGGACAGACAAACAGACAGTCCGACAGAAAGTGAAACTCGAAGCATTAATAAAGCTTAAAGCGAACTTAATTAAAACTTACGCTGCGACTGAGTGCTGGACTGGACAAGTGGATGACTCGGGCGTGCAGGGTTCTCGGATTCGCGAATTCTTGGATTAGCGGACACACAACGCGCACTTTTGGCCCGGCAAGATATGAGCGACAATTATTTGCCAAAACGAATAACAAAAGTAAGCTTGTTTCAGGCGTTCCAAGCACCAAAGCCGCCTATCGTCGGCGTCTACTTCAATTCTTTCAATATGTATCTATTAGATGCGCGACGACGCTCGGGACTCATTCATAAGCCAGACGTAGGCATTTCGTTAATTTTGCACACACGTCGCAAATGCCACCGAGCCCGAAAACAAGTTCCACTGAATGTGTTGCGGCAAAGGAAACGACAGCGGGGGACTCCGAAATATTTTTTGTTTTTTTTTTAACACGCGCGCGCCAATCTGTGAAGCTTTGGGTTGCTTGCTTGTGTATTTCGACTTGTTCGCGATCGCTGGGCAAAAAATCCAACGTCCACACACGCTCACTGTTTCGGCTCAACTGTCGTCAGTGAATGAAGCGACCAGCTGTGTGGTGGTGGCTGTTCATGTGTACGTGAGATACAAGAACGAATGAAACGAATGGCGCACGAGAGCAGCCGAAACGTGCAAAAGTATCTGAGAGACGCACCACAAACAGAGAGAGAGAGAGAATGCGAACCAGTGACACTAATAGGAAAAACTCAAACTGGAATCTCATTGAGTTAGATAAAATGGGTTCGTCACTTGGCTAAGCGCGTTTAATTGTTTGCTATTTAAATGAAATGCATTTTTCTAACTGAACAAGTTGAATTCATACGCAAAGACCAAGCAATAATTCCTACAGAACTGAATCGATAAATGAGGAGTTTCAGCTGTTAGCTGTCATGAAAGTGGTTTCGAAGTGTTTTTTTGCAAAAACCATGGACTCTAGATAGACTTCTGAATTGCCCCACTGCAGTGCACTGCCGTGAAAAGCACACGCGGCAATCAGATAAAGTTTTGGGAGCGGTCATGGCAGCAACAACAATGCCAAAAGCACCAACAAACCTACTGCCCAAAAAATGCAAATGCACAGCAATGATGCAAAGATAAACACAGAGAGTACTGCTCTCAAACTGTTCTCGCCATGTCTATTTCTCTCTACCTCTCTCTAAAATAGGCTACTTGATTTTCTCTCTCTAGCTTGGGCTCAGATAAAAGTGCATGCTGCTAGTTTTTCCACACAACAACAATACTTCTGCTAATCTCACATAGGTGGCGCTCAAGTGAAAGATAAGAAAATCCACCAAGCCCATGCAACACGGCAACAACTGTGAAAATGAAGCGGCAACTGCAGCCTGCACTTTTTTGTTTACAGCCGGCGTGCGTGTCAACAACAACAAGTGTGAGTGGGGGTGTGGCAAGGTGTGGGGGGCGTTTTCTTGGAAATGCTTGCAAAAAATCTGACAAAACGCCTGGTAATCATTTTTTCTGCTGGCGGATGTTGCAACACGTCCTTGTAGTCGCATATGCTGGCACACCCCGACAATTGCAGAGCTTGCATTGCCACCAACCCCCAACCACACACACACACACACACACACACATATGAATGTACGAGTACATAAATGAAAATATTAATAGCAAATTTTCAAAAACTTCAAACTTGGCTGCCAGCTGAGTTATTGCCAGCCCGAGAGTTGAGTGGGAGTTGTCCCGCATTGTGCCACAACATATACATGCATATACACACACATACACATAAGCATGTACATGTACATATATATAGAGTCCCCCCACACCAGCCCAGCCAACCCAACCAGCCCAACCTCTAGCCACAACATTTGAAAAACGGTTCTTCTACTGTTTTGTGAACATGTGTGGAGCGACTGCAGCAACCGCTGGCCAGAGTTGCAACCCCCAAGTTTTCGGAGCTGCTGCGCCCTCAAGGCTGCGATTAATCATGAAATTCTCACAGAAAATATCCATTAGATACGAATTAAGTCATAATTGAGAGTGCAGGCGTGCAAGGAGTGCAGTGACGACGACGACGACGACGACGACGACGACGTCGACGACTGCGACAATGCTGACGGCTTTAATGGATGCGAAAAATGCCCAGGGATCCTTTAGATGGAGGGCAGGAGTGGGTGGGTGGGGGCTGTAATCATTGTGTGAGCCTGCATAAATGAAGAGCCCTGGGGGCATGCTTTCTTACTGAGAGTGTGGGCAAGCGCCTCAAGTGTGTGTGCGACACACATGCTACATAATATTTGATAGGCGTTGCAAGTGCATGTGGTATGTGGGTGTGAGCACAAATTATGCCTAAAATATGCTTTGAAGCGAAATTAAAGCCTCTTTTCGATGGAGAACGGAAAGTTGGAGTGTTTGTCCAACTCATCCTTAATTGAAGTTTTATAGGCACTGAATAACTGGCACAGCAATCTAGACAAGGTATAACTATAAACGATTGTGACGGATAGGTACGTACGCCATTATGGGTCCTTTGTGGGGGTACCCTTTTGGGGGAACCCTTATGATTTGTGTCGAAGTCTTTGCCCATGGCCAGGCAACTCCACCTTAAAAACGCTCTTTATTTGCATATACTCTGATACAAATAAAAAACAACGGAAATTTCAATATTTACACGTAGATTTAACTATTTTTACCATCGATTTTGCACCATCGTGTATTTTAGTTAATATAAAGTGTGCCTACTTCTTAAATTTACAAATTAATATTTAAAGTGTGACGATATTAAATCACGAGTTATGACGTGGTTTATTTGTTATAATTATAAATTATTTTTTTCACTTTTTTGTCTACTCTACTGTTTTTCAAATCTTTTCAATATTGACATTTCCATTATGCATATTTTATATATATATATATTCTACATATATATTTTCTTCTATAGAACCATTTTTAGCAGAAAGTAATTTTAAAACTCTTTTGTTTCATTAATTATCATGATGCTTTTTATGCCTTTTAGTATATAAATAGTTTGGATCAATATTAATATTAAAAGTGAAGGAGCATCTGATTGACCAACACTTACTTGACACATACCTAACGACCATATCTGTCAAGCAGTTACACTTTGTGTTTATACCACACAACTGCTGAAAACCGACTTGAGAATTCTAGTCAATTGAAAATTAATATATTTCTAGTATATTTAAATCGACTACAAAAAACTTAAAATTAAAGTTCAGAAAAATATTATAATTTACTATGGAATATAGTAAATTTAACTATTTGTTTTTTGAAGTGTGTGCATATTAATATTTAATATAGTTCAACATTAAATTGAATAACAACGAAGTTTTACACTTTGTACATACTAATCACTAATTGAATATGTTTTTACTAAAATTTACGATGTTTATATTTGATTTGAATATGAAATAGTAGAACATTAAATTAAATATGATAATATTCATCTGTACTATGCAACTTTTTTATTAGTGTATGCATACTATAGTACCTATCCCCAATATGCTTAGGTGTTTCATTTTCATTTTTCGACCCAGTAGCCAAAGGGTGGAAGTGCACCGGGTGGTCCATTTATTTGTTTTTAAACATAAAAAAAAGAACATAACTCATTATTTATGGAACTGCCTAAATCCTTAATCGATTGTGCACATAACATCGGTGACATACGAGAGCGTTGGAACTATGGCACTTAACAAGTTAACAATGTATTCTTAGATATTCTTGATCACGATGACAAGACGAGTCGATATAGCCATATCCGTCTGTATGTATGAATGCAAGAAGAGATACAATAAGCAGCCTCGGTATCCCTATTCTCGTAGGTCCGAGGAAAAGTTTGTAGCTTTTTTCCAGATGCACCCCCATTATCCAACTATACATAACTTTCATAACTTTCGTAGTTCATGGAATTTATAATCCAAATTTGGTAATTGGATTCATTCTGTGTTATTTTGTTTTGATTCAAAAGCAAGTTATAGCTATAAATGCAATCTCTGCCCATGCTCTGCCAGCAGCTGTTGTCTCTGCTTTGTCTCAACTCTCAGCATGTATGATAATAAAACTGTACATAAAGATATGACTTCCCCTATGTGTTCATAAAATTTTTAAATGTATTTATTTTATTTTATAAACACAATCACTTTATATAGGCACATATTTATACGTATTTTATAATACCATTATAATCTGAAATAAACAAAATCGGAGCCCTACATCCTAAAGCCGTCATATGATCAAAGGTAAAAACCGGTATATTAGGTTTGTATGTACATATATGAATATTTAAAAATGTTTTTGTTCTATCTAGATCTGTCCGTGCCTGTGTCTAGATGAGCGGAAACAGATCAGCCTATATTGATCATACTTGGCTTGGTGAGATCACTTTCCTAATCGCTGTGTTGTATTATTTATTTTTATACCCTGTACCCGTAGGGTAAAAAGGGTATATTAGGTTTGTGCAAAGTATGTAACATGCAGAAGGAAGCATCTCCGACCCCATAAAGTATATATATTCTGAATCAGCATGACGAGAGAAATCGATCTAGACATGTCCGTCCGTCTGTCCGTCCGTCTGTCCGTCTGGATGAACGCGAGGATCTCAGAAACTATAAAAGCTAGAATAACCAAAGTTGGCATCCAGATTCTCCTAGGTCCGAGTAAGGACGAGTTTATGTTTTTTTTTTTTCATTTTCCCCCCTTCCCCCGCTACAGAATTTCGTCAATAGCGTCCACATTTCAAATGCTACCTCAACCAAACTTTGCACACATATGATGTTTACCCTACGGGTACAGGGTATAATAACTCAGTGACGGAAGTTTACCTGGGTACAGGGTATTACACTGTCGGGCTTGCTCGACTGTAGCGTTCTCTCTTGTTTTCGTCAGCATCTCATGTGCTTCGAGGGATTAACAAATCTTGAACCTTTCGTATATCTATTTATATCTATATCAATTATTTTACAATGTGGAAAATGAACAGTTTTTATTTGATGTAGTTCTACAGTTTATTATTTATTTAATATTATTATTTATTTATTGTTTATTTATTATTTATTAAGCATTTGAAAGCAATAAGCAAAATACAAAGCCAACCTGCTGGCGATTTTGATTTGCATATACGGGTGGATTGGTAACCCCCCTGAAAACCTATGCATTTCTTTGGGCAGCAATCAGTTGATGCCTCTTAAGGCGATGGGTGGTTTTGTTTTCCATACAAGTGTCGGGCAACTGCTGCGGAATGTCACATTCCTGATCGTCAACTATAGGATCGTGGCTACCAGGCGCCCCACCTTACTTCCCGCTCAGTGCCATCTGGACCCAGATATTTCAAATGCGACCGACAACCGTCTGATTTATGTATATTTTTATGCTAACAACTACATACTTACATACATACATAAACAAAAACCACAGTGTAACAGCACACACACATACATACATATTTCTGACAGGTCTTTGACATCAAACTCAGATTCCCGTGTATGTGTGTGTGTGTGTGTTGTATGTTAATTTGATTTTGGTGTCAAATGT